GAACCCGGGACCTTTGAATGAGAGGCGAACACCTTAACCTCTAGGCCACGAGAGCCCCCAAGTTTATGAGTGAGAGAGAGAGAGGAACAAAAAGGGTAGGAATAATGGGGAGAGAGAGATGGGGAGGGGGGGAGATGCAACTGGACAACATTCTGTTTCCTATTTAATATTCTGTATTTCTATTGCTGCAGCTTCAACCCCGACAACGACGAAGACCACGGCGACAACTACTACTAATACTAAGCTTACTACTACAACCACTTTTACTACTACTACTATTAAACATCTCCATATTATTACTAGATGTATTTCCCTTTATTTTACGTAGACGTTATTATCTTCTTTGACACAGCTCAAGTGCTCATTCGCGTACAGAAGACAAAACGAAGAAAGACATTCTTAAAGACAAAATTACAATCCCCATTTCTTATTTATCTCCTACTGTCAGAGACACATGTAAAATGGTATTTGTTTCCTTTGAAAAACAAAACAAAAAACTAAACTAAAACGAGTAAAGACAAAAGAAAAAAGGGAAATAACAAACAAACGAACAAAAAAATCTCCTTTCTCTCCACAGAATCTAATAAGGAAACTGGAAAATACAAAGAGAGTGTTGGGAAGGATGGGGCTGACTTCGTGTGGGAAGCGTCGGTGGAAAAAGGATCGAGTTTTACGAGTTGGAAACGACGTAACGACGTGTGTAATGGCGCCGAAACTGTCAGACGGACCGGCAGAAGATCCCCTCCTGATGGAGCGCGTAATGACCGGCCCACACATCGCAATCACATTAAATTTTCTCTGGACACAGAGAGATTTAAGTCTTTCCGACAGAATAAACTGCACTGCCTGTGGGGAAGAGGGCTGGGTTTTTTCCTCTGATTTTCTCTTCTGGGGTTTGTTTCGTTTTTTTTAAATAGATTTTTTTAAATTTCTGAAATACGGTTTTATGGGAGTTTGGGCGGCGTGGGGAGGAGGGGCAGTGAGGTTGTTTTTTTTTGGGGGGGGGGGTTTTGTTGCGGATTTTGGGGGATTTTACGTTTTTGCTATGGGGTGGGGTGGAGGTGGAGAGGGATGTTTAATGACATGAAGCCGAAGGAGGAAAGAAAAAAGAAATGAAATATGAAGAGGGATTTAAGCAAGAAGAATAAAGAGCAGTTTTTTGACAATTGTATGTTTTAAGTTATTGTGACGGCGATCACGTTAACTGCTCTGATATTGCATCTGAGAGGGCGTGGGGGATTGTTGCGAGCGGAGGGTGGGTGGGTTAGGGATGGAGGAGAATAGCAAAGACAGTAAGATGACATTTTAAGATGTAAATGTGGGTGAGTAGGGGGGGGGGTATTAGGGAGGG